CAGCTTAGAAATGGAGATGAGTGCCAACCCCTAGAGTCAGACACGACTGGACTTAAGGTCAGGGGAAAACCTTTACCTTTACTATGTGTGATTATTTGTTCAGTCGCTTCCGACTCTTCGTGACCTGCCCACGCCAGAACTACCTGTCAGCAGTCACCACCCCCAGCTCCTTCAGAGTCAAGTCAATTACTTCAAGGAGACCATTCATCCATCTTGCCCTTGGTTGTGTGTGATTATAGATTTTCCAATACATCCATATCATTAGGTCATACATAACTCTTTTCTCCAAGGGAATCAATAGTCAGAGCACTTCCGAGGAACAATGGGCTGTCATTGTTGACTCCCAAACATTTCCTGCTTTTGGCAGTCACTTCACTTTTGAGGTTGAGTCACAGCCATCCAGGCTAAAGGTGCAGGTATGTTTTGGGTGGCGGTGGTGGTGAATTCGCATTTTTAATTGCTTTCACATTGTTGTTTATTTATTCAGTAGCTTCTGACTCTTCATGATCTCATGGACTCTTCATGACCTCATGGACCAGCCCACGCCAAACCTCTCTGTTGCAATTACATAAAATATATGTGTGATTATTGTTGGCCGCGGCCACGCCCAGCTCCTTCAAAGTCAATCCAGCCACTTTAAGGATACCATTTATCCATCTTGCCCTTGGTTGGCTTCTCTTCCTTTTTCCTTCCATTTTTCCCAGCATAATTGTCTTCTCTAAGCTTTCCTGTCTTCTCATTATGTGGCCAAAGTATTTCATCTTTGCCTGTAATATTCTTCCCTCCAGTGAACAGCTGGGCTTTATTTCCTGGAGTATTGACTGGTTGGATCTTCTCATGGTTCAAGGCACTCTCAGAATTTTCCTCCAACAACACAGTTCAAAAGTGTCTATCTTCCTCCGCTCAGCCTTCCTTATGGTCCTTGCTTTCATACCTTGAAATAAATGCATGTATGAACTAGAACAATATTGTCAACACTGGCTAGGCTTTGCTGTAGTTCCTGCAATCTTTCTGCTGCTTTCCTCCTCTTTTGTCTGTATCTCCCCATATAAACAGTTGGGCCTCATCTTTTTCCAGACGCCCTGGATGCCTTTCTCAAACCCAGACTCCACCGGGGGCCTTGCGGTGAGACCAGAAAAGCAGAGAAAGGGGAGCGGGCAAATTTGCAACACACCCAAGGGATGCTTTGGAGCTAGAAATATGTCTTGGAGTTGGTTGCTTCTTCCTCTCATGAGAGAACATTGGAGACAGAGCGGAACACTGGGATGTTGGGGAGGAAGAGATCAGCAACGAGATCTTGGCGAAGAAAAAGAGACAGTCTTCCAAATGTTGTAGAACAGAGCCCTTGATCCTTGTGATTTAATCCATGGGTGTGGGAAGAAGAAGGGATATTTGTGGATACCGTAAGTTGGTTCACACCATTATTGGCTAATCATTATCCAGAATTCTGAAATGTTCCAACATCCAAAATTATCCACCTGGGTGACTGAGACAGTGACAGCTTTGCTTTCTTAATGGTTCAATGTACTCAAACTTTGATTCATGCAGGAACTTATTGCAAATATTGTATAGGGTTATTTTAATATATGATAAAAGCTGGCTTGAGTTTCTATATCAAGAGAAAGAGAGGATAAAAATAAATAATGAGATCTCACAGAGATCTTATTATGGGCATGTAAACACAGTATTCCAAAATCAGAAAAAAATCCCAAACGCTTAAGATCCCCAGCATTTCTGACATGGGATATTCAATCTGGGTACAGGAATCTATGGACCCTTCCACACAACCATATAACTCAGAGTATCGAGGCAGAAAATCCCACAATATCTGCTTTGAACTGGGTTATCTGAGTACACATATATTCCAGTTCAAAGCAGATATTGTGGGATTTTCTGCCTTGACATTCTGGGTTATATGGCTGTGTGGAAGGACCCTATGGTCCCTTCTACACTGTCATTTGACAAAGATGATCAAATTAGATAATCCATATTATATGCTTTGAACTAGATTATATGAGTCTACACTGCCATATAATCCAGTTCAAAGCAGATATTGTAGGATTTTCTGCCTTGATATTCTGGGTTATATGGCTATGTGGAAGGGCCCAATGGTCCCTTCTACACTGTCATCTGACAAAGATGATCAAATCGGATAATCCATATTATATGCTTTGAACTGGATTATATGAGTCTACACTCCCATATAATCCAGTTCAAAGCAGATATTGTAGGATTTTCTGCCTTCATATTCTGGGTTATATGGCTATGTGGAAGGGCACTATGGCCCCTTCTACACTGTCATATAACAAAGATTATCAAATCAAGTACCGTATATACTCGAATATAAGCCAACCTGAATATAAGCTGAGGCACCTAATTTTTCCACAAAAAACTGGGAAAATCTCGAATATAAGCTGAGGGTGGGAAATGCAGCTGCTACTGGTAAATTTCAAAATAAAAATAGATACCAATAAAATTAATTTAGGCATCAGAAGCTTAAATGTTTTTTGAATATTTACATAAAACTGTAATTCAAGATAAGACTGTCCAACTTTGATTAAACCATTATTCTAACCTTCTTCAATGTAAATATGCTTACATGTCCTCAAATAATAACAGAGTAAAATAATAATAATAAAATAATGGAATGTAATAATAACAGTAATAATAGAGTAAAATAATCAATGTAATAATAACAATACAGTAAAATCATAAATTTAACAATAGCAACAATAAATAGAGTAAAATGATAAATGTAATAATAACAACAATAATAAAATAATAAATGTAATTATAATAATAATAACAACAAAGTAAAATAATAAATAACATTGACTTGAGTATAAGCTGGGAGAGACTTTTTCAGCCTAAAAAAAAGGACTGAAAAACTAGGCTTATACTTGAGTATATACAGTAATCCAGATTATATGATTTGAACTGGATTATATGAGCCTACACTGCCAGATAATCTGGGGTCAGATCCTGGAATATCAGGCAGTATAGAGCCAGCCTGAGAGTCCACTGTCATAAGTTTACTAAGTAGAATATAGCCCAAAAGAGCATTATTATTATTATTATTATTATTATTATTATTATTATTATTGATATTATTACTTTCATCTGTCCCCTTTAGGAGAAAAGTTTGACTAATGGGAACAGGCTCCAACCAGAGCTGACACACATATGATATCCACCCATCTCTAAAACAAAACATCGATGAGAACATAGATTTAACTCTGAGTTCACACCCCAAAGAGTCCTAAATCTGGGACAAAAACCCAGGAGCAATGATTTCCTTGGAATTTGATGTCTAGAGGAGCCTGGGATTCTGGCCATGGGAGGGGTGTCTTTCTAGAAGCCAGGATGAGTCTAGACTTCATTGGGATTTTCGCCCAGTAGGAAACGGTCCAGTTTCAAAAAGTGATTCTCAGGCTAGATCTACACAGCCCTATATCCAGGATCTAATCCAGGCATGGGCAAACTTGGGCCCTCCAGGTGTTTTGGACTTCAACTCCCACAATTCCTAACAGCCTACCGGCTGTTAGGAATTGTGGGAGTTGAAGTCCAAAACACCTGGAGGACCCAAGTTTGCCCAAATCTGATCTAATCCCAGATTATCTGCTATGAACTGGATTATATGAGTCTACACTGCCAGATAATCTGAGATACACAGATAATCTGGGATCAGATTTTGGAATATAGGACAGTGTGGAAAGGATGCAACTCAACAGCTGACCCTAAACCGATGGAGATGGAAGGAGGATGGCTATCTGCACATTCTCAGAGGTACTCTTGCCACCTGCTTTCCTTCCCCTCCTATATAAATTGCATCAACACTGTAGCATTAATGAGAAAAGTGAGTGGGAAATGTCACTGTCCTGTATTGCAGATTTGATCCCAGATTATCTGCTTTGCACTGCATCATATAAGTCTCCACTGCCAAATAATCTGGGATCACTGGGTTGTTGTAGGTTTTTTGGGCTATATGGCCAGTTCTAGAAGCATTCTCTCCTGACGTTTCGCCTGCATCCATGGCAAGCATCCTCAGAGCATGCTCACAACCTCTGAGGATGCTTGCCATAGATGCAGATGAAACGTCAGTAGAGAGAATGCTTCTAGAACTGGCCATATAGCTTCTAGAATATGACCATATAGCCCGAAAAACCTACAACAACCCTCTGAGGATGCTTGCCATAGATGCAAGTGAAACATCAGGAGAGAATGCTTCTAGAACATGGCCATATAACCCGAAAAACCTACAACAACCCTCTGAGGATGCTTGCCATAGATGCAGGTGAAACATCAGGAAAGAATGCTTCTAGAACATGGCCATATAGCCCGAAAAACCTACAACAACCCTCTGAGGATGCTTGCCCTAGATGCAGATGAAACGTCAGGAGAGAATGCTTCTAGAATTGGCCATATAGCCCAAAAAACCTACAACAACCCAGTGATTCCAGCCATGAAAATCTTCGACAATACAATCTGGGATCAGATCCTAGGATATAGGGCAGTGTAGCCTGGACAAACTAGATAATCTGGGATTAGATCAGGTATGGGCAAACTAAGGTCCTCTGGGTGTTTTCAACTCCAGCTCCCACAATTCCCAACAGCCTACTGGGAGTTGAAGTCCAAAACACCTGGAGGACCCAAGTTTGCCCATGCCTCATCTCATCCCAGATTATCTGCTTTATATGAGTCTACACTGCCAGATAATCTGAGATATACACATAACACGGGATCAGATCTTGGAATATAGGGCAGTGTGGAAAGGAAGCAACTCAAGAACTGTCCCTAAGCACATGGAGTCGGAAGGATGACTCTTTCTGCACATGCTCAGAGGTACTCTTGCCACCTCCCTATATAAATTGTATCAACACTGTAGCATTCATGAGAAAAGTGAATGGGGAATGTCACTCCTTATCAACCCCGGGTCCTTCGCCCCTCCTTCCTTTCCCCGCCCAGGAAAAGTAGTTTCACTTTCAGCCTCCACAAAACGACAAAACCACGCCGTGTGGCTGTGCTTTGGTGATTTTGGAGAGAATGCGGATTAGAGGAAGCGCCTGTGCTTAGCCTGCCTCAGTTTCCCCTTTCGACTCGGCCACTCCTTCCTTCTGCAGAGCTCATCAGCCACCTGCACAGGTAAGGCCCAAAGGGCAACTCCCTCTCCCTCACCTTGGGACTCCAACGCCCAGAATCCGTGACCAGGAACCCTGTAATGTGGATTTGGCGAGATGCAATCCCAACTCTAGATCTCACCCTCCCAACTGTGTAAGGTCCATCCTTCCTTATTAGATTGGAGGACAAGGCATCAACTGTGGGTGCAGCTGCACTGTGGAATGAATGCAGTTTGAGTCCACTCCATGGCTCAATGCTATGAAAACCTGGGATTTGTAGTTTTGTCACAGTCTTTAGTTTTCATCCAAAGGGTGCTGGTGCCTCACCAAACTGTACTTTCCATGATTGGTTCAACCAGGCATGGGCAAACTTGGGCCCTCCAGGTGTTTTGGATTTCAACTCCCACAATTCCTAACAGCCTACTGGCTGTTAGGAATTGTGGGAGTTGAAGTCCAAAACACCTGGAGGGCCCAAGTTTGCCCATGCCTGTTCTACGCCATAGAATAGATGCACCCTGGAGCCTCAGAAGTTAAAGCTTCCCACATGGTTGGCTTCCACTCCAAGAAGCGTTGGAGATCCTCCAAAACAATGCAATCCTCCACTAATGAGATGCCTCAATACTTTGGAACTCAAGGCAGCCTCCACAAACCTTGATCAGTGTTTCTCAACTTGGGGGTCGGGAACCCTGGGGTGGGTGTCGCAAGGGGGTTTCAGAGGGGTCACCAAAGACCATTAAGAAACACATATTTCTGATGGTCATAGGAACCCTTTTGGCTGAAGATATCTCCGCCTATCCTTCTCTTCTTTTTTGGTGTTGGTGAACTATAGAATTAAAAGCCCCCAACCCAACCAGTATTCAATGATGACCATATAGGTAGTGTGCCAAGTTGGGTGGGTTCAGAATGCTCTTTGATTGTATGTGAACTATAAATCCCAGCAACTACAAATCCCAAATGTCAAGGTCTATTTCCCCCAAACTCTACCAGTATTTTCTCTTGGTCATGGGAGTTATGTGTTCCAAGTTTGGTTCAGTTCCATCATTGGTGTAGTTCGGAATGCTCTTTGATTGTAGATGAACTATAAATCCCGACAACTATAACTCCCAAATGTCAAGGTCTGTTTTCCCCAAACTCCACCAGTGTTCACACCTGGGCATATTGAGTATTTGTACCAAGTTAAGTCCAGATCCATGATTGTTTGAGTCCACAGTGCTGTCTGGATGTAGGTGAACTACAACTCCAAAACTCAAGGTTAATGCCCACCAAACTCATCCAGTATTTTCTGTTGGTCATGAGAGTTCTGTGTGCCCAGTTTGGTGCAATTCCATCATTGGTGGAGTTCAGAATGCTCTTTGATTGCAGGTTAACTATAAATCCCAGCAACTATAACTCCCAAATGAGAAAAATCAATCTAACCCCCCCCCCCCCCAACCACTAGTATCAAAATTTGGGTGCATTGGATATTTGTGTCAAATTTAGGTCCAGTGAATGAAAATCCATCCTGGATATCAGATAGTTACATGATGATTCATAACAGTAGCAAAATTCCAGTTATGAAGTAGCAACAGAAATAATGTTATGGTTGGAAGTCACCACAATAGGAACTGTAAGAAGGAGTTGCGGCGTTAGGAAGGTTGAGAAACACTGCTCTAGATGCTTTGGACTATGACTGCCATCATCCACACATAGCTGGGAGTGCTAGGAGTCATAGTCCAAAGCAAATGGAGGGGATGGAGTTGAAAGAGGAGTCTGCTTTGTACATTTTCCTGCCTTGCATGACCAGACTTAATACTCTCCATTACTGGGGTTGATGGGACTGACACCCGAAATACTGTTACAACAGCATTTCGAGAGCTAAGGCTGATATCCCCAGTCTGTGTGGGGATTCACATTAACTATAGCTCCAATCATCCACACACAGCTGGGAGTGATGGGAGTCATAGTCCAAAGCAAGTGGAGTGGATAGAGTTCGAAGAAGAGTCTGCTTTGAACATCTTGCTGTTTTGCATGGCCAGACTCAATACTCTTCATGACTGGGGATGCAGGGATTGACACCAATGAAATGCGTCAACATTTTTTCGGGTTCTAAAGCAGATATCCCCAATCCCAATCTGTGTGGATTCCCATTATGCAGTTAATTAGGAGTCGTAATCAAATGCATCTGGAGGGGACCAACTTGGAAGAGGAAGCTCTACTGAACATTTGGTCCTTCATCTCCATATTCACTATCCCTATAACTGGGGATGATGGGATTGAGAGTCCAGCACATGTTGGGTTGGGAAAAGCAGATCTCAAAGTCTGGTCAGGTATTTTTAATGCTAGGAGATGCTAAGGATTGGATCAAGAGCACCTTAATTGACCCCAAACCCTCTCCAGATATCACCCCCATCTTCTTTGTAAGCCACACCCACTCCCTTTTTGGCCCTGCCCACTTTTTGTCCCAGGTGAAGTTTATTACACCTGGTCAGAAAATTTTTATTGCAAAAGACTCACCCTTTTACTGCAAATGGATGTACGGTAGACTCTTAATTAACGGGCTCCCATTTAGATGTTGGATAAATGTAGTTTCTGATGGCTTGAGAGTTAATATTAAAAGTAGCCTAACTAATACAATACTCAATACTACGCTGTACTATAAACTCTGTATTGACTTGGCATCAAAACATTAAAAGATAAAGGTTTCCCCTTGACAGTGTTTTGAAAGTAAAATAGGTTGGGGAGAGGAGAATCTTTTGCACTGCCTTGACTCCTTGTGTGTGTATGTATAGTAAAGGTAAAGCTTTCCCCTTGACATTAAGTCTAGTCGTGTCCGATCCTGGAGGGTGGTGCTCATCTCCATTTCTAAGCCAAAGAACCGGCGTTGTCCATGCACACCTCTGAGGTCATGTGGCCGGCATGACTGCATGGAGGGCTATTACTGTGACGCAGAAGCAGTACCTATTGATCTACTCACATTTACATGTATTCAAACTGCTAGGTTGGCAGAAGCTGGGGCTAACAGTGGGAGCTCACCCCGCTCCCGGATTTGAACTGCCAACCTTTTGGTCAGCAAGTTCAGCAGCTCAGCAGTTTAACCCACTGTGCCACCGAGCAAAGCAAATAAAGGCAAACTTAATTTAATGTAACAGTTTAATTGCATTATGGGGGAAAAAACAGCTTTATGAATTCAGCATGCAATTTTAGTTGCTTTTTTTGCTGGTTGCTTGAGTTGTGGTTACATGAGAATTCCAGAAAGACATTTAATTAGCAATTATATTAGAGCACTTACCATACCCAGCCAGTTTTAATCATGCATTTTAAACTCGTGTCCTGTGTTTTAATCTCTAGCTTGTGTATTTAATATGTAGTGTGTTTATAGACGAGACGATGAGATGGATAATGTTTTTAATTAGGAGACACAAATAGCTTATGTTTTTATTACTTTTGTTTGATTTTATACTATTTATTAATGTTTTACATGTTTTATGATGTTCTTAGGCATCGAATCGTTGCCTCTGTAAACCGTCCTGAGTCACCTGAAGGCTGAGAAGGGCGGTATACAAATATAGTAAATAATAAATAATAAAAATAATAATAATAGGTTTTTTTAAATGTTTGTGTGTTTTGGTTGTGCTGTGACCCATCTCAAGCCATGAGGAGAGGTGGGTAAGAAATAACATCATCATCATCATTATTATTATTATTATTATTATTAGGGAGCCCCCAGTGGCTCAGCAGGTTAAACCGCTGAGCTGCTGAATTTGCTGACTGAAGGGTTCGCAGTTTGAATCTGAGGAGCAGGGTGAGTTCCCACTGTTAGCCCCAGCTTCTGCCAACCTAGCAGTTTTAAAACATGCAATAGGTACCGTTTCTGCAGGAAGGTATCAGTTCTCCATGCAGTCATGCCAGCTACATGACCTTGGAGGTGTCTACAGGCAACGCCGGCTCTTCGGCTTAAAAATTGAGATGAGCACCACCCCCTAGAGTTGGACACAACTAGACTTAATGTCAAGGGGAAAGCTTTACCTATTATTATTATTATTATTATTATTATTATTATTATTATTATTATTATTATAAAATATGTCTATAAAAGTGTATTATAAACAGCTTGGTCATTGATAAAAATAATATCTGCTCTGAACTGTACTATCCTGAATTGAATGGTCATAGTAAACGGTAACAGATGGTGGAGGTCAAGCCATTGCTTGGCAAGTCAGCTGTGTTAAGTTGAAACAATAGTAAATAAAATCACATTCTGTTCGCATTTTTCTTACCCTAAATATCCCTCAGTGTGTTTGTGTTCAATTAGGGTGGGAAATGGGAAAAGTCAACACAGACACTATGAGAGTCACATGAGAAGACTCTTACTCCAGCAAGCTACATCTGGTGAACATTTTGCTGCCAAAATTCATGTCCCCAGAGCCTGAGAAATTACTTCTTTTGTACTGTAATTCACAGAATCACTCAATTGGCATGGGCAATGATGTTTGGTGCATCTGTACTATAGAATTAATGCAGCTTGACACCACTTTAACTGCTGTGGCTTCATGCTATGGAATCACAGGTTGCCAAATAGTGCTGATGCCTTACCAAGCTACTAATCCCAGGATTCTGTAGCACTGAGCCATAGCAAAGTGGTATCAAACAGCATTAATTCTACAGTGTAGATCAGGCATGGGCAAACTTGGGCCCTCCAGGTGTTTTGGACTTCAACTCTCACAAATCCTAATAGCCGGTAGGCTGTTAGGAATTGTGGGAGTTGAAGTCCAAAACACCTGGAGGGCCCAAGTTTGCTCATGCCTGGTATAGATGTACCCCCTTTCAATAGAGGATTCTCTGATAAGCAGTCCAGAAAAAGTTATATATTTGTATCCTGAGTATTTCCATGGGGAATACTGTCCTGATTTTAAAGTTTTTTTTAATACTGGTAGTCAGATTTTGTTCATTTTCATGGTTTCCTCCTTTCTGTTGAAATTGTCCACATGCTTGTGGATTTCAATGGCTTCTCTATGTAGTCTGATGGTAAATAAAGAACAACAGTCA